TTTGTATCGTAATCTTCTTTTTGGCAAAAAAAAAAAAAAAAAATCTGTAAGAGGGAATTCGTAAAAATCAATAAAATTCGTTTGGAATAGTTTCCTCTTACAGAATTTTTAAAATTTTTCCATAAGTTTTCGAAAACCTAAACTTAAGCCATATGCGAAACTTGAGGAAATCTCACCACAGAGTTTTTGATTTTTTTCAGTTTGAATATTGGAAATTTCCTTGAAACTCATTCATCAGCAAGGGCATGCCTCAAAATACAACATCCTTAAGTTTGGACAAAATCCATGGGGGATTTTTTTAAACCGACCCGAAAAACTATTTTTCGGGAATTCCCCATAATTTTTGCATAATAAGGACGATGGACATGCCATACTCAATATTTTAAACTTCAATCAATTGACCAATTTATATTTAAAGATTAAATGGCTGTAAAGAGAGGAAGTATATTTTAGCGCGCTTTGAATGCTACTGGTCGAAGCTTTCCGTTACTGCTTTTAGCCACCTTAAGTTCCATCCCTAATCTCAATCTTCAAAACATTTTCAAAAGAGTTTGCTGTGTTCTCGCCTGCTGTGGCGAGAAAGTGATTATTGAAAATTCACAGATTGATAGAGACCAAACGAGCTGTTGGAAAAACTGTATTACAAGTTCAATCAAGGAAAGAGTCTCGGAAGCGTCGATGCTTTATACCATGCTGCAACAACAGAGGCCCGTAACTCTAGTCAAAGCTAAGCCTTCAAACAGATATTAGAAGAATCGGAGCGTAAACCCCCAAAAATTCATACTGATCGTGGAAGTGAATTCACGAATCGTTTAATCCAGTCGTTTGTAATTAAAAGACAAGAACATTGGGTCTTATCATACCTATAACACAGACATCATTGAGTGCTCAGTGAACATTGAGCTGAAACAAAAATGCAATTAAAATACATTACATTCATATATTTATATAAATCTAATGATTTGAGGAGTCTAAAACAGAATTCAAGATTCCCTACTATAGACCCCTAATTAAGTTAAATATAATAAAGTGTTAAAAACTTTACAATAATATAGATAAACAATAATTACACAGATTTACAATAAATAATTGACATGAAATTTATCATAAAAGAAAGCTAGTAAATTCTTGCGAAAAACAGGAACTGAAGTGGCCTCTCTAATGTTCAAAGGTAAATTTTAATATAGTCAAGTAAATCCACGCGATCTGATTGGTTGAAAAGCATGAACCATTTGCCCATGGGTTGCACGCTCACGTCAGCTTTTTTTGCTTCGGCGAAAAAAAAACCTTTTTGTATCTTTTTGCTGACAATTTATCTAGAAAAGATAACTGAAAATTATTGAAAAAACTAGCGAAAATACTCATCAGTCTCCGACATTTAGCATAGAGTTGTTATTTGATCAGCCTAGTAATAGAAAATCAAGATTTATTTTCAAACAGTGAGCTGGACAAGATTGTGTTAGAGCTCACTCCAAAAAGACAAAGCAAACCACAAATCGGTCGGTGTCTACATTCAAAGGGTTTTTAGCAATGATTAAACAAATACAAAAATATTGTTATCGTGTATTTATTCAACAAAAGTATTTCCAAAGTAATAAACTATAAATATCACGCTCACCGTCTACTTCGCAGCTTCACAACTGCAGTGAAGTCCTTTCTAAAGCTCTACATGGGAGTGAAAGCCGACAAAGCATACTACCCAGTGAAAATTAATCCAGTTCAGTCAGTTAGTTTTGATCCGTGTACAAGAAACTTTCCATTGCTAAGTCATTGTACGATAACAAACTTGAACATCGCCAACAACAACAAAGACAGCCACTGTGTTTTTCTTTGATTTTTTGGGCATTACTGTACTAAGAAGTGTCAAATGTGCTTGGCTTACAGTTGAAAATCACTCTCTCCGTAGTTTTGGACATTTTTGATTCACTTGTAAGCTAAATTTTTGCCATTATTTTAGTCACAACAGTTCATGTGGCTTAGAATATTTTCGCCAACACTGCCGGTCGCAATTTTCGCAAAAATACGATACATTACCTACCTTTATGAAGCCCAACTAGTCGTAGTTTGTCGAGGAATATTAAGAGCTTCTTGTAGTCTACACTGACACTGGTGAAAAACGCACTGCGCACGCTCGGAGATGGCRTACGTAACTAAGGGCGACTCATATTTTTGATGCCAGTGTTTTATTTGTTTTACAAAATCGCAAAACTTACTGAAAACTTAAGGTTGTCCTTTTCGCAATAGCAAGATAATTTCAGTTGTGATACACAGCTGATTTATACAAAAAAACTTTTGTTTATACTAAGCAAAAAAAAATTATTTGAAAATGCCGCCACTCGCGGCCCGACGTCGACATCCAGCATAGCTAATTTGCAGATTATCACATGGTTGGATTCTATGTAAAGAAATCTAAAAATATCTGTAAAATTCCAAAACGAATATTTAAGAAATAGCCTTGTCGGTTAAGATAAGGCATACCTTTAGATGTAATAAATTGCTATTGTTCGCCATATTGTTTTTCTCCCAAAGCATGCGCAGTGCGTTTTTCACCAGTGTCGTCTACACTGCTTCTAAAAATAAGGATTGTTTTTCTTTCCTGGGCATAGAGTACTCAAGTGTGACGTCACGAAAAAATGAAGATTGCCTTTGATTATTTTCGATCTCTAATTTCTATAGATAATCAAAAAAAGGCGTTTACACACCAAATTTGACGAGAATCGGACAAATATCAGCAGAGATATGACCATTTGAATATATAATTACTCCATACAAATCAGAGAGAATCAGAGGCCCAAGGCAAACGGCGGACTAACGGCGCACCGAACCAAAGAGCCTCCGTGGCGGCAAACGTCGAACCAATATTGATCTTAATTCACTCACCCATTATCATTATAATTATAATTGGACATGAAGATGCACGGCGGAACGCACAGACATTTGTTTGTTATTCCCTGATTAATGCATATCCTCGTAATGGCGAAATATAGCGCTCGACCACAATCAAAACCTGTTTTTCATCCTTTTTTCCCCTCTCTCGAAGCATTCACAATACGCAACGCTTTTCCCAGCCTTCCAGCCTGGCTCATTATCGTAGCTCTCGAATACAGCACATTTATTGTAGTTCGGCATGTCACAAACCAGGCAAACATATTTCGTTTGGTCAAAACAAAAACTACAAGACTCAAGAGTCTCGTCTCGTGGCAAGGATTTTCTAGACGTGGACATGTTCAGTTTGAGTAGTTTTGAATTCATTTTCGTACCCAGAGCTCCTCGGTCTCGTTCATCACTCATCTTTGTATAGCTCATGCTCACCAGGGGGAAGGGGGGGGGGGGGATGAGCGTTTGGGAGGTAAGGGAGTGGTTGTTTTCACGTCTTTGGTGTAAGTCATGCGACTTGCATAATTTATTTACTATTTTGCATAATTTATGAATTCAGTTTTGATATTTTTCTCTTATTCTCTCTATTTGATTGCACACACCGAATGCGTAATTTATTACTACTATTCTCACTATGGAATTTGAGCACGAAAAGCTCAAAAAAACCCCGAGATGTTTCGCATCAACGCTTATTTGCATGAGTCGTCTCGGGTTCTCGTGGCATGCATTTTCTCACCCTGCTTCTTATATATACGTTCCCGTTCTCTCTGGAATGCGAGATCTATACGCAATAAATCTGCTATTTTTTTCAAGATTGTATTTGTGACAGGAGAATCGATCTTGCTGCACTTACCGAGAATGGTTAGAGTTGAATGTACTCCTTTCGGTTATGAGATGATGGACTGCCCGCGTACGTCAGGGCGTTGTGGTGGTGTTACTGCTTTGGTTTATTGTTCTGAATTATCAGTCATACAGATTGACGCTGGAGAAAAGCCTTGATTTGAGTTTATTGCCGAGTTTACTGTCTCAAGCGATAATTCTGAATGTAGACTTCTTATTGTGTACCGCCCATCATACTCGGAGGAACTATAAGCCAGTTTTATAAGCCAGTTCATACTTTAAGAATCGTTTCCAGTGCGCATGCGATTTTATCCCGAATTTCTCACCTTCTTTTGTTTAATYAAGAACCAAAGAAGGTTTAAACAAAAGAAGGTGAGGAATTGGGATAAAATTGCATGCGCACTGAAAACGATTCTTAATTCATGAGTTCGGTGATTACCTGGAAACTATCCGCATTTTATCGCCAGTACAGTGTAGTTTTTAGGTAAGGGAAGAGAGAACGATTGATATACTATAGTTTGGTTGTTTTTAACCAACTGTTTTTGGTTCAAGAAAAATACAGTTTTGTTCGCTTCCTATTGCGGGTTCCCATCGGCAAACAAAAGACGACTTTCATTCAATAATTTTATATTGAATATATTAGGGGAGCTCCCGCGCCCGCGTTATAGACATGACCGTAACCAGAACTTTTACAGGGAGGGTGCACATCGAATAAAATCGGACCATTAATCGTTTCTTTTAAGAAAGCAGAACCAAAAAAAAAAAAAAAAGAAACCGAAAGAAAGCAGAAAAACGCTAAAAGTGTCGCCCACCCGGTGCACCTAGCGTTTCTGATTGGTCGAGCTTTCAAATGCCACGTCACTTGGAAAATGACGACTTTTAATTTTTTAACGAGCTTTTTAACTATCATTTTTTTGTATATATTGTAAAAACGAAACAAAAAATTACAGAAGAAATCATGGAAAAAAGTATTCGCCAAAGTGTCAAGATAGAGGCTAGGACATTTTCAATTTTGTTTTATTTAGTGTAGATAGATAAAAGATAGCTACAACATTACCGCAAAAACGAGCAACAAACAAGCATGACGAACGAGCGAAAACAGTACTTGTTTTGTTCCTATGGTAAGAGTATTCGTAGTTCATGCATAATAAAAAATAATCTTTTGAAAAAACACTTTTTGAATTCGACAATTAGACAAATCCAAGAGATTTTTAACAAAACTTATTGCTAAATAGCATTCCTAATGAATTACTGGCAAACGCCGAGCAGCGAAACTAGAATGACAACTGAAACGTGCGAAAAAATGTACCTGTTTTGTTAATATATATTTAGGCACAGCCTAAAAGTCAACTTAAATGAAACTGAAAGATAAAAATGAAATCGGGTGAAAAAAACCTCAATTACTTTTTATTTGAGATCAAAATAATTCTTCCCATAATAAAAAACATGCGCAGTGGAATACATTGTTGTTTTTGTTGTTGTTGTTGTTKTTTTTTTTTTGCGCGCGAGTATATACTTTCACACTTTTTTTTATACAACTCCCCCTCCTGGAATATTCTTCGACGAAGTTTCATTGCCGACATTTTTAGACTTTTAATTTCTGTTTGATGTTATTTAAGGCCTAGTACCGGATCTTCAAAATTCTTCTATTTAAAAACAAACAAACAAACAGAAACTCTTAGTTTGCTTGACAAATTCACGCAAAACGTTTTGCAAAACTTTTAGCAAAACGTTTAGGCCATACTTCGTTGCCTTTTTAGTATTGATGGGAATGGCATTTACATTTACTTTCATTTTTTCAATTTCCTCATCGGAAATTTCAGCAAAACGATTGCCGGCAGATGCCATTTTGTTGCCAACTCAATATTCCGAGATTCAAAGGTGAATGGCAACCAAGGCCGTTTTAACAACCATTATGAATCCTGCGTACAAGCCCGCGTTCAGTTATTTGGCGGTTTGCGGTAATCGCACCTTAATTAAAGTAAATTTCAAAAAGTCATGAATAATACTAAATGAGCATTTAGACCTATCAGGTCCTTCGAATCCATCATGTGCAGGGATCTTTACATCTGACTGAATACCTTAACATGGATATTTTTATATAAAGATTTTGAAATATTTGTAAAGGGCCAAAAGAGTGCAAGAGCATGATCGCAGATCGTGTTTTATCAGGTCTAAAACCACTCTGCTACGTCTCAGTCGTGGTTTTAAACCTGATCAAACCGACTCTTTCTCGTTTATTAAACTACACATAAAAGTAATCTATGAAATACAATAATGACGTAATGTACAATAGAGTGTATGACTTAGTTAGCAAGCAAGAAAGCCCCCGGCCCTACAAGGAGACCTGTTGAACTTCCTGTTACTGGGCTATCAGTGACTATTTCACAAAAATGTTGTTTAGATGCAAGCAGTCAATACATTCAATATAAGCAAAGGACAAAAAACAATGTAATAGCAAGAATGTATACCCCCCTCCCCCCCCCCCCAAGACATTATACAATCAAGCCTATAGTTTTAATTTTGGTTTTGGAGAAATTTGAAGGCAAGACCCAGAATTACACTTCCAGGGATCATGAGCAGCTAAAGGATATGGTCACACGGTCCAGTATATGGGGAGAAGCCTCACATGGGACTCTAGGTCCAGTTCCGCGACCCTCTTGGTCCTTCTTTCTTGTATTATTATTAATTTTTTTTCTTTAGTATATTTGTTAACTATTCTGTTCATTGAAAAGTTTATAGGCCAATAAAGTTGTTTTTAAGCTAAATCAAGCCCGGAATTCTACAGGGTTTTTATCTTCAGGATTGTTCATTACTCATTTAATACAAGTTTAATAATTTATTCTTTGTCATTGTATTGTCTTATTACCACTTTCCTGTGACAAACATTTTAGTTCTAGCCGATCCCATACGCAGAGTCCTCCAGGCGCCATATCTCGACACACATTAGCAAATATCATTAGCACTCATTGGATTTTCCCAGGCATTTCTCGAACAAGAAGTGTAGAGTGCGCCTGGGTCCT